CTAGAACAGGTGAATTTTCCTCCCGCTGTGAAACTCCATCCCACCCAAACTGGTTGTGCTGCGATGAAGGGCAGTGATTGAGCTGGGATGAGGAATCCAGAGCTGATATCTGGGCATCTCAAAACCTCCTGGGAGCAGTAATCCTCTGAGCTTGTTTTGGACAGAGAACAGCTTTCATTTGAGAATTCCTTTGTGAGATTCATAGTTTAAGATTAGATTTGTTCCTGGAAGGAAAATCGCACAAATCTTTGAAGGTGACTTAGTCACTAGGGTATGAAGGAAGGCCAGCACTTAAGAGTGACTCAGTAGAGATATTACCCCAGATTGACAGTGCTCTCAGCTACTGCTTTCACAGTGTCAGCATCTGAAGGGCTTTTTTAATTAATCTATCTAACTGAAGAAATCTGAAAGGAAATTTAGGAAAGATCAACCCTTAAGTCACCTAATATTTCTTGATGGAAAACATTTCCCACAAAAAACCTGAACGTTAGAATCACTCAAGAACTCAATCAGAACTAATACAAAAAACCCCAAAACTTGTCAGGATCTTCAGCAACAGACAGTTACTGTTTGCTCAAGGCACTCTCCTCCTCTTCCTCCAGATTTAAATGGCATCTTCATACTGTGAACAAAAAATATGTGTTGTTTACTCTCATCTCTGTAGAATAAGAGGACAGATTTTGGGCAAGCCAAATGACTTGTAAACCAGCTGAAGTACAGCTCTTCGAAATGTCCTCTGACAGGAAATAAAGGCAGGGCTGTGGCGGATTGACAACTGTGTGCTACTGCTTCTGTAAGACTGCAAAAGATGGGCAGTGAATGCAAAGCGCAGGGCAGATATTACTGTGCTTTACTTCAGGACAGTGAAATGCAAGATTGCGGTGTTGACAACACCCCCATTATAACATAGAACTGAAGGACATTTACAGACTCATGCAGCAGTTCTGTTCCATTTCCTATATACCAAGGGAGACACAGAAAACACATAATTTCAAACCGTTTGACCTGCTCTGTTTGTTTAATGAGAGAGTATTAGGTGTGGTAGAACAAGTTGGAAGAGAGAAACACCAGATATAACTGGTACCTTATATACAAAATAACTGCAGAAAGAAGGTAGAGTACAGGAATGCAACCTACTTACTTGTAACACACTAGTTTATTTGTCAAGATAACTCTCATGCAGAACAGATACCCTGATGTAAATGAATTATTGAAATTAGATCATGGCTGGAAAGGAATGACATTAACTCGAACCAACAGTTGATACCGATTAAGTTATGTTTCTTAAATTTGTGTTTTTAAAATGAGAGACAGAAAATGCTTATGGGCTAAAGTTTTAAAATAAAATATAATTCTATTCACTAACTATATTACTCAAATAATTGTACCAGAAGAAATACACTGTGTTTTAAAAGAACAGATCAGAAACAAGCATCTTTCTTGCAGAGGATTTAATCTGCAGTTTTCCACAATCCCTGTATAAAGCTGACAGGGCTTTGAAATTGGGGAAATGATACCTTTCAGTCCAGAGAGAGTGTCTCCACCTCATTTACCCTGACTTTGCTCTTTGAGGGTCTCTGCACCCAGCAGTCCGCTGGAAAGCCACTTCTGTTTTCAACCCGTGAAAAAAAGTCCCGTCCCACCCAATATCAAAGTTTAGCACACCGAAAGTGATCTTCAAATACTTCCGAGGAATAACATCAAGATTAAATAACTTATTTTAGTTAAATATTTACAATCCCAAAGGGACTGAGAACCATAAAGTGAGTGAAGGAAGAAGTGACAGCCTTCAATGTGAATTGCTCGCTCTCTCATCGTGTATTTGGTTTCATTTTGTTGGGGGTTTTTTGTCTTCTTGTGCATTGGCACTTGTGACTGCACTACCAAGTTTGGCACATGAACTACTACTTCAAAATCCACTTTTTGATTTTTATTTCTATACTGTGGTTTAGCATAAGTGAGGAACAGAACTCTACATGTTCTACAGCTTCCCAGAAACATACACTAGTAAGTTTTTCATTAAAATTCCTTGAACACTATTGCTTAATTTTAACATGGCACCTTCAGACTGATCCTTTATGTTTAAATTTTACCTGGAGATGCTTAGTGTTAAACCAAGCAGATTTTTGAGAAATTGGCTGGGTAGATGCAGAGCCATTCTCCGAGGCTCAGCCACAGAGAGCTCCCTGGAGAAAGTCATCACTGATTAGCCTTGATACATGCTGCTGAGCCTAGAAAACAACACTGCCAGCAGTGTAAGACTACTTTCTTTTACTGCAAGCACAGAAAGAGAAAAAAGCCCCCTAAATACAAGAAAAAAAGAAGCTTAAAGATGGAAGAAAAGATGCAACATATACTAAACACAGGCTGCCCAAGAAGTCATTATCTCACTCCTTGTTTTAAAGATATCTGGCCCATTTGTACTTTTGTCTGCATAATAAGTACCCTCAGACATCCTTTTTCAACTGACTTAGCACTTCTTTTCTTGAGGAAACAGTATGATGATACTTGTGCTAAATAGTGCTTATAAAGAATTAGCATCTAAGTGGTCCAACTCTTTAAGGGCACCCTGTTTTTAAAGGATAGGTCAGGTTTCTCTAAGAGGATTGACAAGAAGCAGTGATTTCCCTTCCCCACCAAAGGCACCATCTCTTGTGCGTGGCTGAAACAGAAAAAGTTAAATGAAAAATAACTCCCAGAAAATAAATCAACTTACTGTGGCTGAATCCTGCTATAGTTGTTACGACAGCAAGCAATCTCATACTGCTTTATAATCATTAGTTAATCAATCTCAACACTGTGACAGAGACGTTACTCTAATTTATAGATGGTTCAAGTGAGATACAGTTCAGCATTACTTGAAGCATGACTTGGACAGAAACCTAAAATACTACCTGCAAGTTTTCTGTCATAACTATTAAGCATGATGATGACCTCTGAACTGAGCAAAGCAGCTGGTACAAGTCAAATCTCCTAACATTTTGTCCAGATTAGACTCTTAACAGGGACTGAGAAAGGACACAGATGAAAAGACAGTGAAGTATATATTGAAGTTTCGAACAAATCCAACCTTGCCCAGGTTTTCCTTTTAAAAAACAGAAATAGTTGTCAACTTGCCTCAGGGGAAAAATGTGCCGTTTTCCTTCCCATCGTTAATGAGGAAGAGATCATAAACGTTTATTCAGCAGCAAATATAGACCATTCGATGACTGTGCTACGGCTGTTCTATTATGTGCCACTTTTAATCCAGCAGTATCCATCCAGAAGCCATGCCTAAAACTGGGACGCCCACTTTTCCAGGAATAGCATAAAGACATTAGTGAACACAGTGCTGGTTCTTAGGTATTCATACTTTAAATAAATATCTAAATAAGACAGAGTGGGCTGGCAGAGAACAACTGACATTTTATGTAAAGAGAAGAAATTCAGGCAGAATTTTGAGGAATTTGGAGAGCGGATGACAGAACTGGAACTTTTTCCATGAGATTGCATAGGTCAAAAGTTGCCAGCCATATGCAGTTACGGATTCACAACTTCTTGTAATACCAGCAAATAAATTTAGTCATGGGAATGAGTAAATAAATGTTTCTGTCGCTATAACAAAGCTGATTTATTAGCAGCGTGAGTTTACTCAGTTCCTTTTCAAGTGAGTCACAGCTACCTTTTTCCTGAATTCACAAATGTTGATAATGAAACAGTTTACTAATCACAGCAACCATTTCTTGCCAATCTTCTACTCCCTACAGGCAACTTAGATGAGCAGAAATCTCTCTGCCACATGCGAATAGCTGCTTTTAGAAGACACTTCAGGTCTCTAATGGTCTCATCTGGCAAGCTATCTATCAAAATGAAAGAAAAGGGAGACCGCTGTTAGCTCCAATCCATCGTAAAGTTTCTGTCTTCCCACAATAAAGCATTAGTAAATTATTCCATAATTCTCATTACTTCCTGAAAAAGAATCTGCTATAGATTCCGGCGATCTGCCCAGTTTACAGA